TGAATTAGTGAATTTGTTAAGAGAAAATTGAAATTTCAGTGAATGTGAATGTGGTTTGAACAATTGTAAAAATGAATGAGAATTGCAAATTGTAATCAATGGTAATATTATTAAATAGATCTTTACGAAAACTGAAAAAACGACTTCTGAAGTTCTTAGTATTTGTATTCATAAGTTTGAAAGTAATTACACTTTTAAAAAATACGTTCTCCCCCCCCCACACTCGATCCCATCGTGTGAATTAGAGGGTTTATTAAAGAAATTTAAAAATTAATTTAAATTTTGATGTGGTTTCAACATTTTGAAAAAATAAATCAGAATTTGATTACTCTAAAAATTAATACTATAACTGACAAATAACGACCTCTGAAGTTTCAAAGCATATAAAGAAGACACGAGGAGACTATGTATAACTATATTACAGAATGAAGGTATGGATTACAGAAAAACCCAGTATATATATATATTGAAGGATATACTGAAGAAACATCCTTTATATACATTAAAGAATGAAGGAATGGATTACAGAAAAATCCAGTGTATATATATTGAAGGATGAAGAATATATTAAAGAAACATCCTGTATATGTATTGAAGGATGAAGGATATATTAAAGAAACACCCTGTATATATAATGAAGGATGAAGGATATACTAAAGAAACATCCTGTATATGAATTGAAGGATGAAGGACATATTAAAGAAACACCCTCTATATATATTGTAGGATGAAGGGTATATTAAAGAAACACCCTGTATATGTATTGTAGGATGAAGGATATATTAAAGAAACACCCTGTATATATATTGTAGGATGAAGGATATATTAAAGAAACACCCTGTATATTTATTGTAGGATGAAGGATATATTAAAGAAACACCCTGTATATATATTGTAGGATGAAGGATATATTAAAGAAAAACCCTATATATATATTGTAGGATGAAGGATATATTAAAGAACACCCTGTATATATATATTGTAGGATGAAGGATATATTAAAGAACACCCTGTATATATATATTGAAGGATGAAGGATATATTAAAAAAATACCCTGCATATATATTGTAAGATGAAGGATATATTAAAGAAACACCCTGTATATATATTGAAGGATGAAGGATATATTAAAGAAACACCCTGTATATGTATTGTAGGATGAAGGATGTATGAAAGAAACACCCTGTATATATATTGAAGAATAAAGGATATATTAAAGAAACACCCGTATGTGTATTGAAGGATGAAGGATAAATTAAAGAAAACCCGTACATATATTTTAGGATGAAGGATAAATTAAAGAAACACCCTGTATATATATTGAAGGATGAAGGTTATATTAAAGAAACACCCTGTATAAATATTGTAGGATGAAGGTATGGATTACTCTGAAGTAAAGTTTGAATTTTCTCCAAGAAAATCTGTGCTATTGATCCCCCCCCACCCCCTACGGATTTACATATAAAATACATCATTGAAAATAAAGTTTAATATTAACCTTCTCGGAGGACTGGGGAGGGAGGGAGGGGTCCTGAATGTAATGTAACACAACGGATTAAATTTCAGGATTTAGTTTTTATCTTAAATAATCATAATGGTCCTCAAAAAGGTGACCAGTCACTTTAAAACAACAGCTCAAGTTGATGCCTTTACCGATTAGGTTTCATTTGTCAATTTACGTAGGACCTGACATTAAAATAATCCTAGTTTAGAGTTCCCGAGGTGAAAAATCACATTTAAGATAATCTTGAAGAAACCTATCTAACCCGGGAAAGTTTTCAAAATCAGAAAAAAAAACTTTCTAACTCTGTGATCCTCAAACATAGGAAGGGGTGGGGGAGGGGGATTTAAACAAAGATGGGGGGGAGTAGGGGTGCTATGGAATATATTTGTTTAAAATCTTTGAATCTCATGATAAACTTTCATTAAAATCGTACAATCGTATCTTTTATTCTAAAACATTTGTTATATTCCTTCAATTTTTATTTTCCAACCTTTGCCATTTCCCTATCTTCTTTATTCTCCGACCTTTTCCATTTCCTTATCTACATTTTTTCTGCAACCTTTTACCTTTTTCTATCTTCTTAATTCTCCAAACTTTTCTCTTTCCCTCTCATCTTTATTCTCCAACCTTTCCTTTTCCCTATCTACATTTATTCTGCAACCTTTCCCTTTGTAAAATCTATTTAAGGCGATTTACAGCCTATTTAAAGAGAATATAAGACAGCAAATTGCAAGCATGAAAGACAATATTAAATATGTATTTCAATGGTTTCAATCTAAAAATATCTAAAATTAGTTTATGTTACAGAGAATATAGTTACTAAGATTGAAAGATAAATGTATAAATAAGTTAATAAGAAACGTACTTTTACTGCACTATCTCTTGGTTTAATTGAGGATGGATACAAATCTCATCTCTGGATATCGGACTCTGGACTCTCGCCTCTAGACACTCGACACTGGACTCACGCCTCTGGACTCGGGACTTGGTGTAGACTCTTTGTACTACTGTCATCTGGACTCTGGACACTGGACTCGGGACTCTGGACTTTGGACTCTCGACACGGGTCTCTCTGGGATATTTAACCCATCTCCAGTGATGGTTAGCTCCATACTGATCAAACTACTTGCGTACACTAAGATAGTAATGTACACAAGAGTACTGTACAGTTAATGTGTCACTACACATGTACCGGATACAGCTGGTAAGAAAGCTAAAGGGGGGGGGGCAATCTGTAGATTTAATATTTGTAGGATTAACAAGTTATCTTCAGATTACACCAACCACAGGTTTTACACCCTTTCCCTATAGTCTGTATTCTCCAACCTTTCCCTTTCCCTATAGTCCTTATTCTCCAACCTTTCCCTTTCCCTATCTCCTTTAATTCTACAACCTTTCCCTTTCCCTATCTCCTTTTATTCTACAACATTTCCCTTTCCTATTTTCTTTATTCTCCCACCTTTTCCCTTTCCCTATTTTCTTTATTCTCCAACCTTTCCCTTTCCTATCCTCTTTATTCACCAACCTTTCATTTTCCCTATCTACATTTATTCTGCAACCTTTCCCCTTTCCCTATCCTCTTTATTCACCAACCTTTCATTTTCCCTATCTTCTTTATTCTCCAACCTTTCCCTTTCCCTATCATCTTTATTCTCCAATTTTTTTCCTTTTCCCTTTCTCTCTCCTATTCTCTCTCGGCGGCTGCATAATGTGTTTAATATGGAAATTAGGGCGACCCCGTAGCATAGATAGATAGATACAGATATATACATACATAATATATAGATAGATAGATAGATTTATCGCTGGATAGATAGATAGATATGTTTACATGAAGATAGAAAGATATTCAACAAATTCTTATTGAAATATTCTACAATGTGAACACAAAGAAATCGGAATAGGGGTTACTAGTGGGTTAGGGGGGGGAAGGGGGGCAGCTCGATGGAGCTTTAAAAAAAGGAGCATTTATAGATAATTTCGCTTATTTGAATAAAATAGAAATAAAAACACTGACGGATGTTATCTGTAAAATTGCGACGCAGAAGATTTCTGCAATTTCCAGTTTAGAATATGTTGGCTCTCAGCTCCGGGCACCATTTTTACTAGATCTTTGACAATCCATGGATGCCGACTTATTCGCAAAATTGGAGCAATTTCATCGTTCCCTGCAAAACTTGCAAAGGTTGCAAAAAATGTTTTGCATAAAGTATTGCAGGAAATGGCGGGGTTGAGAAAACCGACACTATAAAAAAAAATTTACGTCGATATAATCGTTATACATTCATTCATACATTGATTTTTCATACATTCATACATTCATACATTGATTTTTCATACATTCATACATTCATACATTGATTTTTCATACATTCATACATTCATACATTCATACATTCATGACATTGATTTTTCATACATTCATACATTCATACATACATTCATATATTCATTGCTCAATCATTCATATACATTCATTCATATTCAATCATACATTTATTATTATGTCATTCTAATTGCAGTCATCATTCATTTATTATTCAATTTTGCATTTATTATTCATTCATTCATTATTCATTCATTAATACATTGTTAAATTATACATTCATTCATTCAATATGCATTCATCATTCATGCATTATTCAATTATGCATTTATTATTCATTATCAATACATTTATAATTAATTATTCAGCCATTCATGCATTCATGTTTTGCCTTGTTTCAGATGACAAAAATCATCATGAAATAATATCTATTGCTGAAGTACGTTGAGAAACATCGAATAAGATTATACACAAAAATAAATTTAAGCCTTTTTTATTATTTCTCATCGGTGTAAATACTGAACTTTGAACTTTGTTTTCAAGTGTTTTTTGAAATTTTAATTAAAGCTTAAAAATACCAATTACTCGAAAAAAATAACAACTGTTCGGAATTGCATGTTTGTTATTGTGCGTGTGTGTGTTCTTATTTGATCTGAATCTAGAAATGATANAGAAATACAAGTATACCTACCATCCTCTGAATAGTCGAGATGTACTTACAGCCTGAAAAGGAACGATTTGCGCGGGAAAATCATTGCGAGATTGAACGAAGACGAAGAAACAAAATGTCCGCTTACATCACAGAACTTAGTGACATGGTGCCTACATGTAACGCGCTCGCGCGCAAACCGGACAAGTTGACGATCCTTCGGATGGCGGTGGCGCATATAAAATCCCTGCGTGGAATCACAAATACCCCGCCTAACGATGGTACTTACAAACCTTCGTTTCTAACCGACAACGAACTGAAGCATTTAATCTTGGAGGCCGCCGACGGTTTCCTATTTGTTGTGAGCTGCGATACAGGACGAATTATCTACGTGTCGGACTCCTTGACACCCGTCCTCAACCACGCCCAGGGCGATTGGTTCGGGGCCAGCGTGTATGACTACATTCACCCTGAAGACCAGGAGAAGGTTCGAGAACAGCTCTCCACGACTGAATCTCAATCTAATGGCCGTATCCTGGATTTAAAGACAGGAACTGTCAAGAAGGAAGGATCACAGAGTGCAATGAGGCTCTGTATGGGATCCAGGAGGGGTTTCATCTGCCGGATAAAGGTAAGAACTTTTTTTAAATTGGTTTCCGAGGATTTTAATGATTTTTTGTCCGTCTCCCTTCATTTTATCCTTCCTTCCAGTTTCAAAATAAATTTGCATATATTTTAGCTTTAGCCTAAACGTTCAGAATTTAATTTTTTGCATTGTAAATTTGATTAAAGTTTGTATAACCTCCCCCCCACCTCTTACCCAATTCCATTTATTCATCCCAACTTAACTAATCTCATCCATCAACTTAACCAATCCCATTTATTCATCCCAACTTAACCAATCACATTTATTCATCCCAACTTACCCAATCCCATTTATTCATCCCAACTTAACCAATACCATTTATTCATCCCAACTTAACCAATACAATCCAATCATCCCAACTTAACCAATCCCATTTATTCATCCCAATTTACCCAATCCCATCCATTCATCCCAACTTAACCAATCCCATTCATTCATCCAAATTTTATTCATCTGAGATTCATCCCAACTTTGCAGATCCCATCCATTCTTCCCATCTTTACCACCCCAACATTATCCCATACTTTCATCCCAATATTATCCCATACTTTCATCCCAATATAATCCCAATATTATCCCATACTTTCATCCCAATATAATCCCAATATTATCCCATACTTTCATCCCAATATAATCCCAATATTATCCCATACTTTCATCCCA